CTGCACAAACAAAGAGCCAGCTTCTCTGCAGCAGCAAGTCTTTTTTTTATTTATTTATTGTTTTTTTCCTTGGGGTTTTGGTCCCACAGATACCATCAGCATAGGAAAAACTCCAAGGGATTCAGAAATCCAAGGAGTAATCAGCATTTTGCATCTTAAGCATGCTCTGTACTGACCACGTCCAGAGGCAATATGTGAACCCAGGGACAGCCAATGCAGCAGGGTAATTCAGAAACAGTCCCAGCTCATTCTCTCCATTTAAATGCAGAATTTGCACAACTGAATCCTTTGGTCTCTAGGTGGAGCAATTTTCTTGCAAAATTGAGATAGACTTGGGGGTTCAGCATTAAATGAAAATTTAAATGCTCAAATATTGCTACTTCTGCCAGTCCACAGAGTCACTTAATCTCATGAAAAAACAAACAAACAAACCAAAAAAAACCTTCCTGGTTTTAACAAGCTGTTAAAGAGTAGAAAAGTGCAGAAATGAAATGTCAGCCTTCATCTAGTTTTAGAATTGAGATTTTTTTTTTGATGATCATAAAACTAAGTATTCTGAGGCATTCATCTCTGGAAGGGGAAAGCCTTATTTCTCCTACCCCGATGCACCTGGCAGCCCAACAGGGCTCTTATCTTGGTGGCTCGCATGCTCTCCAGGGCAATGGCTCAAGCAAACACCAAGCCTAAATTCTTTCTCCACCTGCACGGAAACCCTTGGTGCTCCATAGGGCCAGCCCTGACGCACGCAAACGCTCTGCTGCCCTCGCTGCAGATGCCTCCGTTTCCTTGGCCCCACTCTGTTTTTATTTGGCCGTTGGCGGTGCGGTCCTGCCGCGTATAAAGAGGAGCCGGCGCGGCGTGCGGTGCAGTCCTTTCTCCCGGCACCGGAGGACATCAGAGAAGCAAGTGGCTCCATGCACTGGGCAAACCCGCTCGTCGTTTGCCCCGTGGCCTCCTACCAGCTGGCGGCTCTGCCCTTCGCCGCTCTCTTCCATCACCTCTGTGCATCGCGACGCCTCTCTCTGAGTGCCCGGTATGTGGCTGTTGCCTCTGCGGCCGGGCTGGTCGCTCGTGGCTCTCGGAGCAGGTGGACAGAGGTGCAGCAGGACATGTGGGGCCAGTTTGGGGCCCCAGAACAGCCTTGTCTGCCCCTCCTGTGCTGTTGGGGGTATCACCATGGGCAAGAGAAGAAGGCAGAGAATGGGACCTGTAGCCACAACTGCCCCAGTGGCCTCTTGGCCCCATGGACAGCTAAGGGAGGAACCACTGGGGCATCAGGGAGGCTGCTGGGCCTGGCTGGAGCAGGACTTTGAAGACCCATTTCTCCTAACGGGCAGCCAGAGGGCATCCCTTACCTTCCAGGTACGCCTCCCTGCTCGCTGGAGGATGCCTCCTTGCCAGCGCGTCCGCGGGTGGCTACGCCGTGCTGCTCTTCATCCCCGCAGCTGCCTCTGTGCTCATCCTCCTCTTCGTCAGCCCGGCGCGTGTGCACAGCTGGGCCTTCAGCCTCCAGATGTCCTGGCTGACACTCTGCCACCTGGGCCTGCGGAGCCAGGTGCTGAACCCACAAGATACTAGGTATGTCCGTCCCTTCTCCCACTGCCCTCGGAGAGCCTGGAGCCCTCCCAGGTGTTCCAGGAGGGTGGAGAGCCCCTGAGCCCAGCAAGCTTGCAGCTCCTGTCTGTTTTCCTTCCAGGTCAGCTGTTGTCCTCTCTGCCCTCATGCTGTTGACCCAGAAAGTCACATCTGTGTCCCTGGATGTCCATGAGGGCACCATCACACTCCAGCCTGGCCGGGGCGTTCTGCAGCGAGCACTGCCTCTCTGTAGCTACTTGCTCTTTTTCCCAGCCCTCCTAGGAGGTCCCCTGTGCTCCTTCAGGAGGTTTCGGGCCCAGATCGAATTCCCGCTCGCTTCCCACCGCCTGCTGGGGACTGCTGGCTGGAGATGCCTCTGTGCGTTGGCTCTGCAGGCATTACGCATGGCACTGCAGGGTCGCTTGGCCACCGTGTGGGGCTGCACTGGCCTCGGCTGTGTGAGCAGCGTGTGGGCACAAGCGCTGCTCTTCAAGCTGGCCTACTATTCGCAGTGGATGCTGGATGAGGCCCTCCTGGAGGCCGCCGGCCTCGGGCCGGAGGAAGGCCAGGGTGACCTCTCGGGCAGCGACCTGTGGGCACTGGAGAGCACCAACCGCGTGTCAGTCTTCGCTCGGACCTGGAACAAGAGCACATCGCGCTGGCTGAGGAGGCTCATCTTCGAGCGCTGCCCGGCCTGGCCGCTCCTCGCCACCTTCGCCTTCTCTGCCTGGTGGCACGGCCTCCAGGCTGGGCAGCTCTTTGGATTCCTGTGCTGGGCCATCATGGTGGAGGCCGACTACCGCATCCATCCCTTCCTCCGTGCCCGGGTTGCCTCCCGTGGTGCTGAGATCCTCTACTACGGTGCGACCTGGCTCTTCACCCAGCTCATCATCTCCTACGTCCTGGTGGCCGTAGAGACCGAGAGCTTCTCTGAGCTCCACCGGCTCTGGGCTTCCTGCAGCAGCATCCTTCCCGTCAGCTACAGCCTCGCATTGCTGCTGCTGCTCGCCAGGAGAGCTAAGCAGAGCTGACCACGTCCTCAGCTGCCTTGTGCTGCCAGCTGGGCCACGTCACACCTAGCACACAGGGTAAGAGGGCTGTCCTATGACAGCACCATGCAGACGGGGAGGGAACGGGGACCCGGGGTGGCTCTAGAGCAGGGCAGGAGCGGTCGCAGCACCGCTCCCAACAGCACCAACTACCCTGTAGTTGTCTCATTCACACCCCAGGTGAGAAAACATGTGGCACCCACTGCCCCGCAAACTCATCTGTGCAGTGAGTGCACCAGTCAGCAGCTGTGTCCAGCTCCTGGGGCCTTGACTTTTAAATGCTAAACCCTCCCCAATACACTGTCTGCATCAAGGCCAGTGGTTTTCACTAAGCTGAAACTTAGCATGCAAAGCGCATCCCAACATGTGCGTTTTGTGTGGACTAGTGGGATGTCTGGCCACATCCTTGGTTCCAAGCCTTGCAAGCCTCTTTCCTCAAATAAACCATCTCCCTGTGGACAGCCAGCACTGGGTTTGCACTGCCAGTGCCCCATCTCTCCCTGCAGCCTGGGGCGCTGTCCTGTAGACCTGCCTCCGACTTGCTCCCCACATCTTCGCCAACGAATCCAGTCATTTCTTGATCCCATCTATGCCAAACATATTGGGCTCCTTTCAGCTGCTCAATCACTCCCACAGTCCATGCAAGACCACAGGGCCAGGCTTTTGACAGCAACGTCTCCAGGATGGCCCACGGAACAGACCTCACCAGCCAGGAGGCCCCTGATTCATGCCTATGTTGGAGGGGAGCAGACACAGTAGCCAGATGCAATAAAGCCAGCAGAGGGGAACAAAAAGTCCCTGACGACCACAGTTGGAGCCGTCCTGCATTTTTTCAGCAGGCAGCAACGTGCAAGGCTTCCTGCCTGCGGGGATCGGGGGGAAACTCATCAGAAATGGGTGCCCTGCCAAGGCACCACATTCCCTCTCAGCAGCAGCAGCAGCAATCTCAGCCCAACAGATAAAGATCCAGGTGAGAAGCCTGGAGAAGATTCACAGTGTCAAAAAAAAAAAAAAAAAGAAAAAAAAGAGAAAAAAGGGGGGGAGTAGAATTAAAAAATTTTACAGAGGAATTTAAAAATTCCTCCTTGAAGTCACGCTGGTTATGGAGGCACATCAAGGCTGCAGGAGAAGACTCGTGCGCGGGAGGCGGAAGGGGCTGGTGGAGCCTGGGTGACGCTCTCTCGAGGTGCCCCGATGGCAGAACCGGGACGAGGAGCAGGCACGAGGAAGGAGCCACGTGGCCCGGCTTTCCCGCGGGAGGCGAAGCGGGTATTTTCACTCTAATTAACTTTACAAGGGGTAATCCCCGGCGTGCCGCATCACCCGCCGCAAGCGAGCGAGCGAGCAGCCCCGTCCCGGCCCTTTGGCAACCGCTGTGCGGACGCGACATCCTCCCTCCCATGCGGGAGGAACGTTTGCACCGGGGGCTCCTGTTCCCCGGGAAAGCAGGGAGCGCCCTGCTGCCCACCGTGCTGATCAGACCTTGCTGCCAGGCCAGGAGTGGGCAGGGGAAGAAAGCAAAGGCCCCAGGCGCAGGAATCACCTCCAGGACGTGGTGCTCAGTAGAAACGCACACACACGCAGGCAGGAGTTTATTAGACGCCAGGGCGGCGGGCTCGGCGGCCGCCAGGTACTGGCAGCAGAGCCAGTCCTCGAGCTCCACGCTGCGCTCGGCGTCCACGGCGCGCTCGGCGAACTTCATCATGAGCAGCGCGCGCTTCATGTCCAGCCAGTTGCGCAGCGCCTGGCGCAGCGCCTCGTCATGTTGCTTGAGGGGCTGCTCCGTGAGGTCCTTGCGGGGCCCCCAGAGCAGGCACTGCAGCATGCGCTTGGCCTCGGCGATGCGCGCACGCTTGATGGGGTCGGCCTCCAGGAGTAGGTGGGCGAGCTGCTGCAGCCCCCGCGAGTAGATGGAGAGGCTGGGCAGCGCCGGCAGGTCCTCGGGGCTGTAGTCCTGCTCGCGCAGGTGCACCTTCTCCTCAAAGGGGTTGGGCTGGTGCAGCAGCTCGTAAATGAGGATGCCAGTCTGGAACTCGTCAAACTTCTTGTACTGAGAGGCCGACACAATCTCCGGGGCCAGCCGGGCCTGGCTCTTCTTCAGCTTGGAGTCTCCAGCTCCTGGCTTCTGTTTGGCTTTCAGGAAATTGCTGATGATGAGGCGGGGCAAGTGTTTGTCGTCTTTGGCTTTGGCGCAGCTCATGGGCGGCCTGCAGGGCACCAGCAGGAGGTTCTCCAGGCACAGGTCGCGGTGGATGACGCCGTGCTCCTTGAGATGCTCCAGGCCGTTGCAGAGCTGCAGCAGCAGGAAGCAGACGCGGCGCTCGTAGAGCTCAGGCTTGGCCTGGTGCAGCGCCACCGAGTCCCTCACGAAGTCGGCCGTGGTCTGGCTGGGCAGCGGGATGCCCGCGCCGGGGTGGGTCTCCCCGCCGCCGCCGCCGCCCGAGGACAGCAGCATGCTGGAGGGCACGGAGGCCACGAAGTGCCCACAGTCCTGCTGGATGTTGAAGTGCACGGGCACCGCGGGACTGCAGTATGAAGTGGCCCCCTTCGACTCCGGAGCTTTGCAGATCTGCAGGAGGGGAGAGCAGAAGCCAAGCAGAGCCTGTCAGCGACACAGACGCCCCAAGAGCTGAGCAGGGTGGCGCTATGTGGAGCAAGGGGTGCACAGGGATCTGCAGAGCTCCCTTCCCGCCCAAGCCCTCCTCTGATCCCACCCGGCTAAACCCTCGTCTCATCTGGAGACCTGGGACTACTTCCACATCCTTTGCCACCCCCTCTCTTCTTAAGGGAAAGATTGCCGCAAACTCTGCCCAATTGGCACGTTGAGAAAAAAAAAAAAAAAACCCTAGGGAGAAAATGAGCATTTGCAATGGGCTCAGGAATATGTGAGAGTCCAGCAAACTCAAGGGATTTTAAAAAAAAAATCATTTACGGTCTAGTTTCTCTCAAGCCCACACGACATGAATTTATCTTTTTTTTAATGTGTTTTAGCATTATGAGCCCATCAAAGACTGATCAAACCTAAACCCAGGTTTATTACAGAGGTACCCATTAACTCACGGACCTTCTGGCATTCCCTTTTTTCCCCTTTTTTAACTCAGCAATGTATTTACACGTCCCCGCAGGAAGCAGTGGCGGGCTGCAGCTCGGCGTAAAAGGTTTCAGAGCCCGGAGCACATGGCCGGCATGCGTGCGAGATTGGGCACAAAATCCATTTCCCCCCCCCAAGTTTGCAACACGGAAGCAAGAAAGGAGGAAGGGGGTTGCTTCTGTATCCCCCCCGGCGGGCTTTTGGGGTGGAAAGAGCATTTCCAGGGAGCTGGGGCAGACAGCAGATGAGTGGATTTAGGTCCAACACACCAAAAAAAAGTTACTGCTCGGAGTATCTAACAGCTTTGAAGTTATCACTTAGCTAAAACATCCCCTTGGGGTTTTGCACTGGTGGAATCAGCTCAGCAGGGCTTTTTGTCCCCGCTTAATGCATCTCTGGCAATGCTTTCTTGGCAATTTATATTAGGCTTGGAAAATAACCCAAGGAACCAGCAGCAACGAGGTGCCCCTGGGGTTGAATCAAAGTAGAAATTAAAGGCTCTGCATTCACGCAGCCACCGAGGCCAAGAGCTCCACGTCCGCGGGACGCACGTGGCGCGGGTTGCAGATGCTCAAGAGAGCTAAGTTTAAGGGAGATGACTTTGTGCATCAAAAATTTCCATTTCAAACATGGGTTTTGCACGCTAGCAGGAAAGCATTTCAGACCTGACCTCACGAAGCACCTCACAGTCAGCCCTTGCACTCTCTTACTGAGATCTGCAATGTCTTAAGGCGGCTGGTTTCAAGATCACAGAAGCACTCACACGGTTTCTGGGCCAGACCTTAAAAGGCATGCAGAAGGAAACAGCCTGCTCTTTAGCATAGCTTTTAATCAGCTTGCGTTGCCAGAGGTGAAAGCCTCCACGTTTTCAATATAATATTTCTGTAGAGAGCAAAGATTTGGGGAAAAAATGGTGGGGCTACTGGGGACCCTACTGCTCCACAGCTGTAAGTATTAGACTGGCAGGCAAAACTGCTCCTCCAGAGTGACTTTCTGCAAGGGGTGGGGGGACAATGGCAATTTTGGCAGGGGTTTTACCTGCCAATCTTCAGTTACGAGAAGGACAAGCACTGAGAAAACGGGCCACCCTATGCTGATCGTGCTTCCCACTGCCTACGCCTGGCTCTCATTCCCATCCACATGCTGAGATACCGGGAGAAGGAGCTTGGAGGCTCAATCCCAGCTCCACTACGGACCCCCAGCGTGGCTTGGACCCTGTGGCTCTTGGCCTCATCCTCAGACGGAGATGGGGATGAGCCTGTGCATGCTATGGCCATTGACTTACCTTCACGGCATAGGTGGTGCCGGGGTCCTTGGAGCAGGTGGCACAGTAGTAGATGGCGTCCCCTGAGTCGCAGCAGGGCTTGTTGCATGTCAGCTTGAAGAGCGACCAGTTGTTCTCGCTGAAGTGCAGCTCGTTCTTCTGCTCCCGCATGAAGCAGTCCTCGCACTTAGCGACCAGGCGCCGCACTGACTCGGCGTAGAGGGCCCCCAGCTTGGCGTACACCCCTTCCTTGCTCTCGATGTTGCTGAGGAGGTTGTGGAGCTGGAGGCTGGAGCCCGAGGATGCCTGGCTGGAGACGCTGAGCTGCGAGGAGGAAAGGGCCTGGTGGTTTCGGCTGGGCATGCAGCTCCCCGTGCTCCTGCTGGCGGCAGAGTCCCAGGAGCCATTCCCTTTGGAGCCTCTGTCCAGAGACTCAGAGGAGGAGAAAGCGCCGGGGGGCCCCCCCAGGCACGCAGGGTAGCCCAAGGGGGGCTCCTCGCGGAGGCAGACGTTGCTGTCGGAGTGGCTGACGTTCAGCCTCGTGCCGGCCGCTATTGCCGAAGAGGATGGTCCCCAGCAGAAGCCGTCTGGGGAGGACAAGGCCCTGCTCACCGTCTTCTTCTGGGGCAGCGGGGGCGGGTCGCTGGGGTCCGAGGGGGCACTGTCCTCACAGGGGTCAGCAGCAAAAGGCATGGGAGGAAACGCTCGGCTCTCGGCCACTGGTGGCGAGTGGTTCGGCTCCAACGAGTGTCCTAGGGGACAACAACACAGAGAAATGGGCAATGGGCAGGGGAACAGATGGTCCTCAATGGCTGGGAACGCATCGCCATCACCACCACAAGTTGGCCCCACCAGCAAAGCCCCTCGGCCCGTCTCGCCCACGAGAAGCAAAGGAGGTAACACCCAAACCCAAAGCATGAACCTTGTTGACTAATCCTCGCAAAACTGCACCCAGCGGGGTAGGTGCTTCATCCAATGTAATGCAGCAGGTCTTCCAGGCAGGTTATGTATGGCGGCCACCTAAAAAATTCCCTCTCCCCAAAACCTGCAGAGTAAAAAGCCGGGAGAGGGTGAATATTTTACTCCAGATGTCACTAGTGAGGTGGTGAGATTGAAGCGTTCCTGTTGGACAACAAACATTTAAACAAAGCTGGGTGGGAGCTGAATTTCAGCAGCACCATGGCGTGATGAGGGCAGCGTGGCTCGTGTTGCATGCAGAGCAGCCCAGGGAAGACATTGACCTTGTCGGGTTTTCTTTTCTTTGCAAAGTCCAAATCCGAGAGGAAGGCCTTGGATTTGGCCAGTTTGTCCTGCCATCCATCCTCTATCAGTGGATATTTGGATTTCTTTGCTCAGAGGTTCCACAACATGGCTGAGCCCCAGGTGGCTCAGTGTGCCATTGGCACATGGCTTTGGGCACAACGCAAGCTCTGCTAATGCCTGCCTGTGGCTCCATCTCCATTGGATACCCAACCATGGAGCAATCAACTGCTCTGCAGCTGCAGAGCTCACTGCAGAGCCTGGGGCTCAACCACAAGGTTTTTCCTCTGCCTCATACAACTTTTTGGCACAGTCTCACCTAAAAATTCCCACCTAGCAGTGAAAAAAAGTGAGTTTGCAGAGCTCATGCTCTTGATTTTACTGCCGCACATAATTGTTGCTCTTGGAGAGACAGCACTTCCACCGCGCGGTGTTGCTTTTGCCAAGGAAATGCTTGCTGAGCTGCTGGACATGTTGGTGCATGCCTAAGTTACACTTACAAAAAAGGTGACTTCATCGTAAATATTTTTAGATCTCAGTTAAAGGAACAAAGGCAGATTTTTCTCCTTCAAGAAACAGCTGTGAATGCAATGAGATGGAGAGGTGACCTCTAGCACCAGACTCTGTCTGGTACACCTCGAATCAGGGGAGGACTTCCTACAGCAAGGCTACCTGCTGCCTGTGAGGCGCATGCAGGAGAAAGCACGTGCAGGTGAAGCACAAGTGCTCTCACATGGAGGCTTTATACAAATGACAGGACAAATGCTTTGGGCGCGGGCCAACTGAAGAAGAGGAGTAAAAAGATGATGCTGGCTTAACTGATACCGTCATGTTGCAGAATCCCAGAGGTTGGAAGGACAATCCCTCTGGAGATCATCTAGTCCAACCCCCTTGGGTCACCTGCAGAAGGTTGTCCAGGATGGTGCCCAGACAGCTTTGGAGCATCTCCAAGCATGGAGGTATCCCAGCCTCTGCGGGCAACCTGCTCAAGCGCTCTGTCGCCCAAGGGCACCCTCCAGGGCCCCGCCAGGACATGGAGAAGCAGCAGGGCAGAAGCAGCGGATGGATGGAGGGCTGCTGGGGCGGGCAGCCGTCCTGCTCCATGGACGGTGCCGCGATGGCGGCGCTCAGGATGTGGGCAGCCACTTCCTTGGGGCCAGCGCGCTGCTTACCGCCATCGCTGCCGGTCCGCGCGTCCGAGTCGAGGCTGTCGCTGGAGCCGGCCGTGAAGCTGACGTGGACGCTCCGGAAGGGTGGGCTGAGGCTCTCGGCGGAGCTGCTGCTGACCCTCTCCAGCTCAGTGCTGCACGGCTCCATCTTCAGTGCATGCCTGCAGAGAGCACAGTGGGATGAGCTGAGGTGCAGGGCAGCAGGGGACACACTGCCACCACCCCGTAACCAAACAGCAGCGCTCAAGCAGAGGAGGAAAGCACAGAGACAGCATCACCCAGCGCCTTCCCGAGGTCCTGGGCTACCTCCCTTCCCAGCCAGCGCTTCTTGGGTCACTGCCCCCAGCAGAGCTCCCTGGAGAAGGGCGCAGCGTCCCGTTCTGCAGAAGGGCCTGCAGGCTGAGCCCGGGTGCCAGAGCCCTAGTCCCTCGTGGGAAAACAAGAGCGTGCCCAAGCATACAGCTGCTGATGTGGTGCCTGCCACGTCCCCCGTGCTGCTTTTGCCAGGAGGGAAGGGAAAAAGGAGAAAAAAAAAAAAAAAAATAAAAAAAAGAAAGTAAATGGGTTAGTGGGGCCCCAAAAAAAAAAAAAAAGAAAGAAAAATAGCTTCATAGCTTCCCCCGGCGGGAAGGTATCCGGCATTTCCTAATCAGGCGTCCAGGAAAGGCAAACAAAAGGCAGGCAGGGCTGTTTTCCCTTCTCGTTTTAAGGTCGGGAGGGAGAGAGCAGCGCTTGGCCCCACCTGGAGACAAAGCGCCCCAAGCCCCGCAGGGAGCAGAAGGGCTGAGGAGCCAGAAGAAACTCGAGTTTCCTCGTCCGCCCTGGCTCCAGGAATACCAGAAATACGGAATATCGCACTTAAAAAGAAATAAAGCAATCGCGTCAGGGATAGCGTGGCCAAGACACCGGGTCTTGCACTGGTGGCGAGCCCGCCACGTGCAAGCTGGTCGCCTCTTGGGGCCGACTTGCAAAACGCCACATGCACCACATAATTCACATTTAAGAAGAAAAAAAGAAAAGAAAAAGGAGACAGAAAGAGAGAGAGATTGGGGTTTTCAGCTCAGTTAGCATTAATGCTGAAAATAACCACCTCCCAGGCTCAGATCCTTCCTTCCTTCCTTCCTTTTTTTTTTTTCCCTAATGCATTATCAAATATGTTGTTAGCCTGTAACTATCTGACTGGTTTACCTTGTAGTAGCTTGGATAATAAAAGCAAAAAAAAAAAGCCCGGGCACACCTGGGTAAGAACCGAAGGCGCGCCGGCACCCATGGGAGAAGGAGATCTTGCAGGAAAGGCACCTTCTGAAGCCCCTTTCCTCCCCCCGCATCCTCGGCACGGCCCCGCGAAGCAACGGCGCCCGATGGCTGCTTCCCTCCCCGCGCAGCCGGGACCGCGCCGAGACTTTGCTCCAGCAGCGCGGTCCAAGGTCCACGAGCGCCCCACCTCTCCCTCCGCGTCGGCCCCGTCTCACCGGCGAGCCGCGTTTCCTCCTGGCTGCTGCGAAAACCCAGTTCCTGCCCCGGGCTGCAATGAGAAGCCGCCGCAATGACATCCTGCTCTCGCGTCGGATGTTGCAGCGGGGCCGACGGGAAAGCACCTCCGCGTCCCCCTCCGGGCCCACGAGCTGCCCCGCGCCCCCACGGCCTCGTGCGCGGGTTGGAGCCCTGGGTGCTGCAGCGGGGATTTGCTGGCGAGGCTGGCGAGGAGGTGGCACGGGGGTTAGTTCACCTGCCAGCTGCAAAGGCTGCGCTCAGCACCATGGGCGCAGCTGGTGACCCCAAAAGCAGCACGGGCGTCTCCACCGTGTCACAGCGCGTAGGCAACGCATGCTGGAGGAGGCGGCTCTCCCCATCCAACAACTTCCACAGCCAGGATTTCCACCTCTGTGGACTATTCCAGCAAGTTTTAAATCCCTTTGGCTAGTCAACATCCTCCATGCAAGACGCCAGCGTGCCCAGGCCACCCCTCCAATTCGCTCTTCCCCGTTTTCCCATCCCCAGCGCTCTCCTCCAGCTGACTTATCCACTCAATTTCCACAGTCCGCATCAATGCTGAAAACGGTGCTCTCATAGAAACACTGTTTGGGGGTTTTTTTTGCCAAGGGAACCAGCCCATGTGCAATCCTCTGCGTTGCATCCTGCGCCAGGGCAGAAGAAGGTTTCGTGTTTCCCACCTCCCTGCCAAGACAGACAGTTTAATATCTGTCTGTGGGCAGATGGTGGTCCTGTCTCGTGCTGTGCTGGAGCCCCAGGAGCCCAGCACTGCCGGCTGCTCTGCACCTTGCGCTTCTTGGTGGAGATGGGCACCAAACTATGGCTCCTCCACCGTTTCTCCCTCAATGGCCTAACCCAGACAGAACATTGGCCTTGGGGGTTTCCAAAATACCTGCTGACTTTGACTTCTCTGCGTAGAGTGGACCCTGAAACCAAGTACATTTTTCAGGGTTGCTCCACCAGCTTTGATTTAGCCCCAGCATGTCCATGGACACGCTGTCAGTCAGCGGGGGATGCTCTGCAAGCCAGGAAGGTCCCTTAGACATCGCAGCACGGCAGAAGCACCCAGACCATTCCCGCTCCTGGAGAAAGGGGACTGCACATTTTTCATTCATTGCAACCACTTTCTTCATTCAGAATGAAAAAAGTGCCCCGAAAAGAAACCTCTGGGTGACGAGGAATGACAGGGGTCAGCCAGACAGCAGAGGCAATGAGCTTTGTAAATCACACAGGTGCAGGAGGGAAAACAAATCACTGCAGCCCAAAGCTCACTTTGGGATGAGCGCGGCCGCGAGGCAAGCGGGATTCCCTCCCGCCCAGTTCCAAAATCAAGCCCCGGAGCTGGTGCACGACAAAGGGAAGAGCCAGAATAAATTACAGCCGCTCTCCCAGCGTCAAACACAACACATGGCTGAGCGTAATTACTACACAAGAGGAAGCGCGGCTGTGCCAGATGCTTGTCTGTCGTGAAACATGAATAATTACCTCTTTCTCCCCCCTCCCTCTCCGCTGCGACTTCTTTCCGTGTCTTCCTCCGCAGTTAAAACCGGCACGAGGAGCCTGCAGCGTCTGAGGCTTCCGTTTGCACCTACCCCCACGCGCCCAGCTGGCGGGGGAAGCCCAGAATCAAGGAAAGATGGTGATTCTAGCACACTCCCAGCTCTGGCCAGAAGCCTCTCCTCCCTGTGCCAAAAGGATCCCAGATAATCATATTCTGGGATAATAACAGTAATGAATCTGGACAATAACAATAAATCTGCCTTGTCCCGGACCAAACAGCACATCCCTGCTGTCAGCCACAGATGATGCCACCACAAAGAGGGTCAAAATCAGGGACCTTCCCGTTGTGTTTGTAGCATGAAACCAGGCTGCTTTTGCCATCGCGACACCTCCTGACATAAAGCTTATCAACCCAGGGCCATGCTAGAGCGTTTCCCATGGGGAGCGCTTTCGAATCACCATTGCACATGCGAGTCCTGGCGATCCTAGTTCATCCCCTGCCCAACTGCCTTTCCAGCCTTGGAAGAACACCAACAGCAACGTTGATTGCCTTTTGCAACCCTGTTCCTCTGGTGAAGCCACCGTTCAGCCCGTTTTCCACCTCACTGCGGACCACGCGGACCTAAAGTAGCTATAACCTTCCACTCAAGCAGGAAAAAAAGAATCACAGGGGGAAAGAAGAGATCCAAAACGTCTCTATATAGGGAGGAACAGGCACGGATCCATTGTTCTGCCTTTGTGCGCTGGCGCTGAGAGGTGTCTGCAGGCACGCCTTCAGCCAACCTGGGAGATAGCGACCCAGCGTTTCCTGCGTGCCTGGCGGGGATTACGCCACTACACTGCTTTCTCCCCGCAAAACGAAGAAAAAAGCCTTAATGTACTACACATTTGCTTTTTGTTCCTCTGCTTCAAAACCGGTTTGGACGCAGCATGCAAGCTTTCTTTAAATCTAATCGGGGAAGCCAAGTGAGCAGGCTGCATTTTCCACCACGAAATCAAGTATATTGCCAGAGCCTGAGATCCAAGAGGAGGAATAAAGCATGGTTGGACCCTCTTCCTGCAGCTGAGCTAAACCCTCCCTGATGCGTAACATCCTGAAGAACCCGTAGTGGTTCCCGCAGCAGGGACAAGCACATGGGCATGGACGACCCAGGTGGAGAAGAGGTGACCATCTCAAAGGCATCTTCCCACATAAGATCTCCTCTCTTCCTAGGGCATTCGGCTGCAGCCCAAGAAGACCAAAAGAGATGTCCCTTCAGCAAGGAACATCCCCACGCCTGGGCGGCAGCAGCGAGGTAACGCAACGCTCCTTCGGCGGAGGCAACGGCACCGCACGCAGGGAGCACCTTCCACCGCCACGCGCAGGCAGCAACGCCCTGGCCCCTGCACCGACACGCTCGCAGGAGCGGAGCGCAGCCGGAACCCAAGGCAAGCACGCCGACCGCCCGGACCGGCTCGGCGCCGCTGGCGGAGGCGCCCACGGCGCAGCCCAGCACCTGCAGCGGGGCACGCAGAGCGGCCGGCACCCACCTGCACCAGCCGGCGTGCGCTGCGGCTCCTCCGGAGATCCTGGTCGCGGGCGTCACGCCTCCCCCGACCTCAGCTCCCCTCCCCTCCTTGGCGGAGGCTCTGCGCCGCGGGAATGCTTTCGGGATGACTCAGAAGCAACGGCGACGGTGGTGGTTGGCTACCGTGGTGGCTGGCACGGCCCCATCGGTCTCCGGGCAGCCCGACACAGCCCTTCCCAGGAGACACTTCCGCAGGGATCAAGCTGCACGTGGGAGGCGACCACTGGGCGCCCGCTTGACCCGGGGCACTGCCGGTGTGGCCAAAGAGATGCCACAAGGCATGGGCAGCTTCCTGCCCCCGCTGCCACCTCATGACGACTAACTACCGTGACTGGAAAAGGGGGCACTGCCCCAAGCACTGCCGGGGAAGGAATCCTTGCCCCCGATCCAGAGAAAGTGCTTATGGCTCCTTCTTCTGGAGCAGAAGGAAGTGCCCATGGAGGATGCAGCAGGGACATCCCCTGCTGAGTTGGAGTGCCACCACTCTCCAGGCCCAGCGCTACCAACCAAGCTGAAGTCTCTTGTACATCCCTTCCCTTCTCTTGAGAAATCTCTGCTCACTGCTTAACTGATTTAAAACACTAGCCATTGAAAACTCAGTGCAGAAAGAAAGCCGGGGACGGACCAAAGCAACTCTGCTAGAGGACGTTGATGCCTACACATGTCAGCATGAGCAAGGAGTTCCCCAGAGCGCGTTTTCTTTCCGACACCCTTCCCTCCTCCTCACAACCTCCAAACGGAGAGGCTGGAGGCAGATCTGCTGCAGGAGCCAGATCCGTAGCACAAACCTCAAGTACTCGGTGAAGCAAATGCCGGACATGCGCAGCCTGCGGGATCATCCCCCACCCAGCGATCAGACAGCCCAAAGCATCGGTTGAGTGCAGAGGAAATCATCTCGTTCCCTCTGTTTTACCTGATTTTTTTCTTTTTTTTCCTCTCATGAGCATGCAAGTGTAGACACCAAAGGCTCTGAAGGGCTTTCACCATCCTCGCCAGCACCTGGGCTGGGACTTGGAAAGACCTGGCATGCAAGGACAGTGGTTTTGCACCTCCCCTACCCCAAAAAACCCATCACTAGACAGAAAGGGAGGAGAAGTGTCTCCTGCGCAGTGTACCCATGCAGCAAGCACAGTGCCTGCACATGCTGAGCAGATGCCGGTGCGCGCCCGGCCCTACCTGGACTGCTTTTTCGGTGGTGGCGGTGGTGGCGGTGCAAAGTCGCCTTTGTCCTTAGGGAAATCAAAGGAGAAAGAAGAAGACTTGCTGATCCCAGTCCGGCTCTCCGGCATCGGGCAGTCGTCGGCAAGGTGGGCGCCCGCGCTCCGCTCCCCCACTCTCCCTGCCCGCGGAGGGGTTGCCAGCTGCTCCTCCTCCTCCTCTTCCTCTTCCTCTATCCGGCACTGCTTGCTCCATGCTGCTGCATAGGATTTTGGCCTCCTCTCGCCGGTCAAGCCTCTGCTGGCCTCCTCTGCAGGGACGTGGGCGCACGGAGGAGGAGATGTTCCACAGGCCCCCATGTCCGTATGGCTCTGCAGCATCAACTGAGTGCCGCTCCCGTCGTGGCTATTGCCATCGCCAAACCGTGCCACCACGGCGCTGTCCAGGGGCGCCCGCGTCCCCTCGCCGCCTGGCTGGCTGCTTTTGGACATCTTCGGGGGAATGGCCGGGCCCTCGGCCTTGGCGGGCGCTGCCAGGTGGAGCCGTGGGCTGCTGTCGCTGCCGGGTGCTTGCAAGGTCTCTGTGGGCTCCAAGGCGGGCGAGGAGCTCCCGAAGTCGCCATGGGAAGCGGGGCTCACGCAGGGCCACTGCACACCCACGGCCGAGTCCGGGCTGCTGAGGAAGATGGTCCTGTGCTCGTCTTCAGTGTGCGCCGCCATGACGGTGATCCTGGCCGCCACCTGCCCGCCCACGTCGTGGTGCTCCCGCTCGGCGCCCTCCCTGCGGGCCGCCGCACGCCCACCCGGGCCCTTCGCCTGCGCCTTCCTCCTCTTACTGCTCTCAGCGTAGATGGGGTCGCCGCGGGGCGGCTCCACCAGGGCAGCGCCCAGGCCCTCAGTTTGGGGACTGCTGCTGAGCTCCAGGTCCAGCCTCCTCCTGTCAGGGCCGGCAGCGCAGGGGAGAAGGTCTCCTCGGTCACCCACCTTGGCCGCCCGCCCGCTCGGCCTGGGCACGTTGGGGCCGGCCGCGCGCTCGGCGCGGTGCGGGCCGGGTCGCGGGGCGCGCAGCGGGCGAAGGGCGCCCGTGTGCCGCCGAAGCCGTCGAGGCAGATCCGCTGCGCATCCCCTGCTTTCAGGAGGAGGTGCTTGCCCGGCACCCAGCTGACCTGCGTGGGCCCCAAGAGACGAGTCCATCAGGACGTACATAAAAGCAAAGGAGGAGCAAAGCACATGTTCCACGCAAACCGTCCCCCTGTTGCCCCGCGTGTTCCCACCCGGACAGGAAGCTAATCACAGATGCAATGAACCTCGCTGCAAGCGGCTCCAAACCTTCTGGCACCCAGGTGCCCCACGGGCACCGCCTCATTCAACCAAAACCGCCTTCGGAAGCTGCCTGAGACAAGACCAGGAGGACTAACAGTGGGAAGGGAACTTCTCCAACATGCATCCCCAGTGCTCCCCACTAGCGGCGAGTGTGGGGAAGCCGTGCGGCAGCCACCACCGCTCCCTGGATTAATCATTACCTGCGCCAGGTCTGCGTTCACATCCGCCCACGTGTCCGAAACATCTGAGCTTATCATGGTCGGCTTCACGGCGATGGTCGGCTTGGAGAAGGCAGAGGTGGCTACGCCTTCATCGTTCGGCATGGGGCCCTGGGGCCTGGCCCCATCTGCGCTGGCAGCAGGTCCCGTGCGCGGACGGTGGGAGCTCTTGGGATTGAAGCAGTTCTTGCAGGAGCCGGGCTTCCAGACGTGTTCCACGAAGTCGCTGCATGCGGACATCTTCGAAGCCCTCCCGCCTCAGGCTGAGAGCTCTCGGCACCGCCCGCTGCTGCTCATCTTGCACCGGGTGGCCCAGGAGGCGGCCTCCTCACCTGGGAAAGCACAGAGGGTCCAGTTAATTCAGCCGCAGGCAAAGATGGGGAGATACTACACTTGCTCTGCTGTTGCGGCTTCACTAAAGCCTTAAAAAAATCGCTTATAAAGCCTCAGCTTCTAAGCCTGACTCAGTAACCAAGAAGACATCAAGCGAGTATCATTCCTAGGTGACTTAATTCCCTGCTCCCTCTAATTCCCAGTCATATCCAGCCTCATGCAAGGTTTGGACAAAGGGTGACGGGAAACGGCTCCTCCCAAGAAAATGCCCCTGGCATCAGCTCCCTGAAACGCTGCATTGTCTGCCAGGAGCAAAAGCGCTCGTCTCGCTTGCAGGCACGGATCCCTTCCCATCACCCTCCTCCAGAAGGAAATGCCCCAGGAACAAGACATTCCTGCATTCCTGTCCATCCAACCCCCACCCCGACGTGCATGGCCAGAAGCTCCTCTGAGCTAGCAGCCTTGGGGATGCTTTGGACAACGGCTCCCACAAAAACTCGTCAGCTTCGGAAAGGCCAACACAACTAGAGCGGGAAAAATTTAGCACACCAGTTCCCTCTGTGAAGTCCTGCCGAAAGGTGGTGACCTCCTTTAGGTCCTCATGTCCCAACCCAACGGACACCGACACGAGCCAAAGTAAACTCATCATATGACCTCAAACATCACACACGAGACCTTTTGGAAAGGTATTTCCCATGGATTTTCCAGGCCACAGATCAGCTAAAGGAGAGCAAAGCACACTTGGACGTACACCAGTACTTCCTCAAGATGATTATTTGCAGGGAAAGAGGTTTTTTGAAAAATATGTACTATTCTCGTATTATAATTCTCAGCATGCGGTCCTTAACCAGCTGGGGGACTGCTCTTGGACTCGGACCATCCACTTTGCCAGCAGGGATGATCTGCGTGTCTGGTTATTCATATTACCAACCTGACTGGAAAATAAAAAATTAAAAAATAAATAAAAAGTATAATAATAATAATAATAATAATAATAATAATAATAAAGCATTACGGTACAGGGAGGCTTAATCCCAGGATGAAAGCTGGGAAGTTCGCCCTGGCGGCAGCTCACCCGGAGTTTGATGTGAATCCCGACAAGACCCGGCAAAGAGGCAAATCAAAGGGAGGGAAGCAGGGAGCAGAGCCAGAGGAAAAAAAAAATCAAATCTTCGTTTTTGATTTCATTACCAGCGCTGTCAGCTCCTTTTTTTTTTTTTTTTTTTTTTTTTTCCCTCCCCAGACTGGGATTTCCCTCCTCGCAGCTTTCTCGGGGGCCAGACCTCCCCGCAGGTGATGCTGGGCCGGCAAGCGGAGCGGCCATCCCCTGGGCTGAGGTATGGGGACTATACGTCGCCACATCTGATATCGCGTTTCTGCGCAAGGGACGGCGCGAGGATGCTCCGGTGGAGGAGGAAAAAAAAATAACTGAAGAGAAAAAGGGAAGAAAAAGAGCCGGCCTCCTGCCA